CTTTCCGAGTCCTCATTCCTGAAAAGAAACTTTACTCAACTAAACAAAGGTTCTTTGTTCCAATTAGGAAGTTAAAAAGTTGTTATTACAGATCGAAATGCACAAAGATGTTCATTACCTAGGTATTTATAACAGTGGAAAAACTAGACTCTAAATGTTCAAAAATTAATTAAATTTAATATAGCCATAATTCAGATTCTCATGGTTCTCCCTCTTCCCCAACCACCCTCCCTGTTTGTTTGTTCGTTTGTCTTTGAGACAGGGTTTGTTTGTTTTGACACTGGCCTTGAACTAAAAATGTTAAGGCTGGCTGCTGCCTGTACCCCAAGTGCTGGAATTACAGGTGTACACCACACCCTAAGTTCAAATTTTATGAAGGTGTTAAAGATGACCTGGAAAGTTACACTTATTTACCCGAGAAAGATGTCTATGACACTTCCCCAAGTGAGAAAACCAAATTTCAGAGTAACTTGAAAAGAAGTAACCCCTTTTTATAAAGTTGCATACATACTAGTGAGCTAATATTTTAAGCAAATATGTAAGATGGTAAAGAATAAAGACGAGAACCGGGCGTTGGTAGCACACGCCTTTAATCCCGGCACTCTGGGACAGCCAGGATTGTTACACACACACACAATCACACACACACAGTCTAAAACAAAACAAACAAACAAAAAAAAAACTAGAAAAATTACTAGTTACCATTTCAAGACCATGAGGCAGGTTTAATTATTTTTTGTTCAGTGATATGAGCAAAGTTTCGCTCTAAGAACCACCAAATATTTTTTTTAATATTTATTTTATTTATTACATATTCAGTGTTCTGCCTGTATATCAGAAGAGGGCAGCAGATCTCATTACAGATGGTTGTGAGCCACCATGTGGTTGCTGGGAATTGAACTCAGGACCTCTGGAAGAGCAGCCAGTGCTCTTAACCTCTGAGCCATCTCTCCAGCCCCCGCACCACCAAATATTTTAATAAATATTTGTGCTTGTCTATATTTTCCAATTTTTCTCCAGCAAAGTAGTTTCTTGATAGGAACCATCTTTTGAGCATGATCATCAGTAACTCCACACTAAAGATGTGGAGGGAAGTCACACTTCCAGGAAACGGAGGTGTGGCCCGGAAGGAAGGCCAACAGATAGAGACAACACTCAGAAGCCTGGCCACATAGGACAGAAAAGCAAGTCGCTGTGCCCCGCAGCTGCAGACACAGACGTTAGCCAGTCACCCTGGTCACCGGACAAGCATGCACTATCTCTGAGCAGCCTGTGGTCACTGTGGCAAAAAGAAACCCAAAGGCACACTTCAGTGATGGCTGAGTCTTCCATGCACAGTGAAAGAGTGAACATTGCCAGGGAGGGCGACGCATCAACGCGAGCTTTATTCAAAGCTCTGTCCCTGAGCAGCAGCGTGGGTCCGTGGCAGAACACGGCTCCAGGCTTACACAGTATCACCGGTGACAAGATCACTAGGAATGTCTCATAGGCGACATGTTCTCCCTCTCTGCATCTCCTCGCCATCACTGAGAACAAACTGCTACAGAGACGAAGACAAAAGCTGACCATCACACGTGGGAAACGTGCAGTCTGGACAGATGCATGGTTCCAGAGACGAAAACACCTGCTGTGTCCCTGGAGCTTGCCGTTTTGTTAATAGCTTTACTGGGATATAATTCATGCACTGTAAAAATCCACCCATGTAGAGCACACAATGGACTGTAGGACATTGAGAGGTGTTCAGCCATCACCTGCATCTAATTTTACAATTTTTCCTGTAATGGACCAAGAATCCCTTCCTCATTCGCTGTCGTCCCTTTCTTGTCCACCCCTCCCCTGCCGTTGCCCCCTGACTCTATTCTCAACCCCCGAACAATGGGGCTTTAGCTATTTAAACTCCCAGATGCCCATAATTAAGCTTATTGCAGCCAGGTGCAGTGGACACACTTGGAATTCTAATACCCAGGAGATGGATAGAGGAGGGTCAGTTTAAGGGCAGCCCAGCTATATAGTGAGTTCAAGGCTACCATGGGTCACGTGAGAACCTGTCTCAAAAAAAATAAAAAATCATACCTGTGATTTAACGCAGGCATGCCCATACACATGTACACACAACAAATAAATAAATGGGGGTCTTTCATTAAGCTTATTGGAGAGTAGGGACCTCTCTGGTTTATTCAATTATATGTTTTTACACTTCTATAGTTGTTCTTCTAGGACCAAGTCAATTGATTTCTAAAATGGGTCTCTTACAAAGCTATCCTTGCAGGCCTCACAGAGTAGTCAATCAAAGGAAACCTGACAGTATCCTTTTGCTGCCAGGCAACATGTTCAAATGCCTCTTCCACCAATTCTGCCCCTAGATTCTATTGCTGGTGATCAGGGCAGCTCTGGGAAGCAAAGCAACCAGAAAGAAATAATCATCTCCCAAGCTGAGCCAACACACAACACAGTACTGTTATCTGAGGGAGAAAGACCAAACTTCAATTAAGACACTCAGACCTGTGGTACTGTGAACCTAGTCAAACCCATGTCTGAGGGAGTCTTAGCCCCGAAGGGGGAAACTAAACTGACGTGGACCCAAATAGCCTTCTAAGAATTTGTATTTCTATTCATAGACAAATGCTGATCTCAGCCTTCCTCAAAGAAGAGCCTCATTGCAACGAAGAGCAGCGAATGCAGAGACCTGTGGTTGCTCAAGTGCCGAGAGTAAGATGACTAAGCGCTCGGCGCGAAACAGGATATCTATACCACCGGGGAACATGGAGAAGAGGAGTTGGAACGACTCGAAGAACTGCAAGCTAAGAACGAACACGGGCTGCAAATGCCCTCTTCTGAGCAGGCACGACCATTACAAATCTGATCACACAGCAACGGTGGTTGCTGCCTCCGCTGGGTCCGCACACACTGGGCCTGTCAGTTGTCAGTCTGGTCAGAGAGGGCTTCATGGAACCCTACCCCTGCCTGATGAACTACTGGCAACTGGTGGGTTCTGGGGGGAGAGCAGTCATTGGCTCCGGTTGTGTACTCATAAGTGAGCCCTTCGGGCTCCCATAGACAGTTCCAAACCCCATATTCATACAGACAGCCCTGGTTAAACTCAGTGGGTTACCAAAAAAAAAAAAAAAAAGCGAGACAAAATACAAGAAATGAATGTGTAGGGAAGGATGAGAGGTATTGACAAGGATGGGATGGAAATAAGAAAGAGCAGGGATGAGAGAAACCAGAATATATTATGTACATGTATGAAATTATCAAAGACCAAATTTAATTTAAAAATTTTTTTTAAATATTTGGGGGCTGGAGAGATGGTTCAAGGGTTAAGAGCACTGGCTGCTCTTCCAGAGGACCCAGGTTCATCTCCCATCACCCACGTGATGGCTCACAACCATCTTTAACTTCAGTTCCAGGGAATCTGGTACCTTCTTCTGGCTTCCCCAAGTACGAGGCACGTGAGTGGTACCTAGACATACATACAGACAAAGCATCCACACACATAATTTTTTTTGTTATTTTTCAAACCTCACTCATGGGCATGGTGTATCACACTTATAATCCCAGCACTAAGGAAGTTATGGATGGGAAATCAGTATGAGTTAGTGCCCAGCCTGGCCAGCCGTGGCTACATAGCAAAGAGCTGGTTTCAAAAAGCCAAGACATTCGGTGTTCATGATAAGATAAAATATGGACTAAAATATATTTTAAAGTAACTACAACGAAAACAATGTTTTCATTAAACTTAAAATTAGATCAGTGGCCATATGTATTTTGTGGCTACAAGACCCACACACAAGACCTAAAATAAAGTATTTATTTTTTATTCTTTTTATTTTGTGCGTACGAATGTCTCACCTGGATGCATGTGCCCCATATGCATGCCTAGCGTCTACAGGTGAGAAAAATGTGTTGGATGCTTGGTAGATGCTGGAATGAAACCAAGGACCCCTGGAAGAGCAGCAAGTACTCTTAACCGCTGAGCCATCTCTCCAGCCCACATAAAATGTTCCTGGAAGGGCCAGAGAGATGGCCTAGAGGTTAAGAGCACCCTGTTCTTCTAGAGGACCCAGATCTGGTCTCAGCACATGGGTCAGGCAGCTCATAACATATGTGACCCAAGTTCTGGGGCCTGGACAACTCTTCTGTCCTCTGAGGGCCCTTGGTGCATGCACATGCAGACATACATACATACATACACACACACACACACACACACACACACACACACACACACACACACACACACACTCAACTCTGACTTTATAAAGGTAAGTTCAGGAGCATACATTGTGTGCTGATAAAACTTCACAGAACCCATTTAGCCCCGAAAGTTTGTCAGGTTCTATTCCACCCAGGTCCTCATGAATGACTTTTGTTTCTTATTTTGTTTTGTTTTTTACTTGTTTGTTTTTGTTTTTCAAGACAGGGTTTCTCTGTAGCTTTGGAGTCTGTCCTGCAACCCATTCTGTAGATCAGGCTGTCCTCAAACACACAGAGATCCTCCTGTCTCCTGAGCACTTTAAAAAATTTTTTTTGGTTTTTTTCGAGATAGGATTTCTCTGTGGCTTTGGAGGCTGTCCTGGAACTCACTTTGTAGACCAGGCTGGCCTCGAACTCACAGAGATCCGCCTGCCTCTGCCTCCCAAGTGCTGGGATTAAAGGCGTGCGCCACCAACGCCCGGCTAAAAATATTTTTAAAATAAAAAAAAACAAAGCTGGGCGGTGGTAACACACTCCTTTAATCCCCACACTCAGGAGGCAGAGGCAGGCAGACATCTGTGAGTTCGAGGCCAGCCTGGTTTATAGAGCTAGTTCCAGGACAGCCATGGCTGTTAGCACAGAGAAACCCTGTCTCAAAAAACAAAAAATAAAAATAATATAAAAAACAAATATTTTTAAAAATGTTTCAGTATATGAACCTGAAATCTTCATCTACAACATCCCAGAAGAAAATTGTTACCTAGGCAGCAACAACAACGAAAACCAGGGAAAATGGCACCCACCTCTTCAGTTCTGCAATGAGTAAGGCAGTGCATGGGACCCCTAGAGTCATCAGAGAGATATTGTTGATGGCCGGCTTGACAAACGCCAGGCATGTTGTAACTGCAGACAGGACACACACCACCGCCTTGAACCTGCCCCTGAATCAGTGGAATCAAAACCAAATCCATTAGCGAAGGAGATCCTGCTTGTTTAATAACATGCTATCCCAACCCCAATCTGAGCATTGAACCCAGGGCCTTGTGTATGCTGGGCAAGTGTTCTCTCATTACTTGTTACTATTGGCAAGGTGCAGCCAGCACTGTTTGCACAAGTTGAGAACTTCTACACCAGTGGTTCTCAACCTTCCTAACCCTGTGACCCTTTAACATAGTTCCTCATGTTGCGGTGACCCCCAAACCATAAAATTATTTCATTGCTACTTCATAACTGTAATTTTGCTGCTGTTATGAATCACAATGTAAATATCTGAGCTGTGACCCCAAGGGGTCTTGGCCATGGGTTGAGACCCTAAAGTATCATTAGGTCACAAGTGGACCAGATCTAAAAGCTGCCCACTCTACTTCCAGGAGCTGATTGGTGGGACATCAAAGACTTTGAAAACTGTGCTGTGAACACAGTTAAACCACAATCAACCCAAGGCTCTGGGGAGAGCCCCTGACAATGGATTCCCTGATCTTATTTGTGTTTCTTCAGATATTCCTCTACAGGACTTGACAAACCTCTCTTCTATAAACCAGACACAAGGGCACAGGACTGTAATCCCAGCATTTGGAAGGTAGAAGCAGGAGGATCAGGAGTTCAAGACCAGCCTCAGCTACATAATATGTTTTAAGACCCTGTCTTAGGGCTGGAGAGAGGGTTCAGGGGTTAAGAGCACTATCTGTTATTCCCATATGGCAGCTCACAATTGTCCATAACTCTAGTTCCAAGGGATCTGACACCTTCACACCAATGCACATAAAATAAATTTTAAAAATGACCCTGTCTCAAATTTAAACCAAAAATCTGTAAAGGGACAGAGCATTTTAGGTTTTGCAAATCCCAAGCTGGAGCTACTCAACTCTGACTTTATAAAGGTAAGTTCAGGAGCATGCATTGTGTGCTGATAAAACTTCACAGAACCCATTTAGCCCCGAAAGTTTGCCAGTTTCTATTCCACCCAGGTCCTCATGAATGACTTTTGTTTCTTGTTTTGTTTTTTACTTGTTTGTTTTTGTTTTTCAAGACAGGGTTTCTCTGTAGCTTTGGAGTCTGTCCTGCAACCCATTCTGTAGACAAGGCTGTCCTTGAACACACAGAGATCCTCCTGTCTGTCTCCTGAGCACTGAGATCAAAGGCATACACCATCACTGTCCGGCCATGCATGACTTTTATAAGACAATCAAAGACCATTAATAAAGCATAAGCATTACTACTTTAAAAGAAAAAAATCCCTGTGTGCTCAGCCTACAAAACTAAGTTTTGGGGGAAAAAACCAAGTGAATATTTCCTGGCAGCCTATAGGTCTAGCGTGAACTGGAAGTCTGTCTTGACAAGTCTTTAACATGACAGATCACCGACTCTCACAGCCTGCCGAGAAGTGGAGGCAGCCAAAAGTGGCGACGTGATCCTAGACACACTTCTTCCTCTCTCTGGGGACCCTGTTTCCTGATCTATAGAGCAAAAAGGCCCTGGCCTAGCCACTCTCAGAGGCCTTATCCATGACTTCAACTAAGGAGCACATGATTTTCCTGCAGTTTTTGTTATTTGTCATTAGCAGAATTTGTCTTGGCCAAGAGCCCCGGAGCAGGTCACAGTTAGGAAACTGATTGGAATGGAGTTCTATTATAAAGAAATCAAAGAGCATCGACCCCTCAAAACACAGATTTATCTTCTAAAGAGGAAAGGCATTTATCATCAAGGCACAGGAAATCATTGATCAAGCTGCCAACCTTCTGAGTGGAATGAACGGGCTTTGTAACCCTGAGCCAGAGGGGAGCAGACATATGTGACAGGAAGCAGGCAGCAAACGCTCACTCAGGAGACTCGTGTTTTCTTCCTGACAGTCCACAACGCCCCAGCTACCGGAAGCAAGGCTGCCTGTCCAGCTTGAGGACAGCCCCACCAGCACCGAGCACACGGATGGCCTCTGGGGCACTGGGCTACCCTCCCTGCTTCTGACACACCAAGGCCTCCTGCTGGTCTCTCTCTGTTCTTTCTCTCTCCTTTCTTTGTCACAGGACAAGGCCCTGTGCTTCCTTACTTGTCATTGTACCCCACATCTGTACATTGTTTTACCCTTTAGTCTTCATTGTCAGTTTTTCTTTACTATGAATGATTTCACACCCTCTCCCCTGCTATTGGAAATATACAGCCAGAGGTTAAGAAGCTAGAGATAAAGCTAGGCGAGCATAGTTCTTCCCTAGTACGCATGAAGCCCTGGGGTCCACTCTTGCATCTCAAAAACTAAGTGTGGTCATGCATATTTGTGATCCTCGTACATAAAAGGAGGAAGTAAGATGACTAGGAGGTCAAAGTCATCCTCAGCTTGCAAGCCTGGAGGAGTGTGGGACACACGAGACATTGTTTGAAAAAAAAATCAAAGAAAGAGAAGGAGAGGGGCGAGGAGAGAAGATGTGAGAAAAGAAAATAAATTTGCAAGGTGTATCGACGCCCCTCCCCCATACCCAGAGGTTTAGGATTCAGGCACAAGTTGGAAAGAGGAAAACAATGATTAAAAGCACTGATGTTTCCCATGGGACAGATGTACTCACAAACCCAGTTACACTGTTCAATGACTATGGGACCTCTACAAGAAGCTTAACTCCTCGAGCCTTCCGGACTTGAAACTGAACCACTAACATCCATGGCATTCTTGTGAGCAAGCACTGCAGCACTTAATACAGGGTCCAGGATAGGTGATGCGCCAATAAGACTCATTATCACCATCTTAGAAGAAATACTATTTAGTAATGTCACTATTGTTGAGCTGGCCATTGGAGTTCATAGCTGTAATCCCAGCACTTGGGAAGCTAAGGCAGGAGGATTGCTATGAGTTGAGGTCAGCTAGGCTAAGAGCATGATCATGTCTCAAAATGAAACAGAACAAAGCAAACAAAACAGAAAAAAATATTATTGCTGATAATATCTTCTGAAGGAGAGCAGGATGGGCAGCCATTGTAATTCCCAAAGGTTCTGAATAATACTGCCAAATAGTTTAAAGGCACATGCTTTAGGAGACACTCGCAGACACCTCCCCACACTGGGTCCAGAGGGAGTGGAGGAATGTACTGGACAATGAGGACATCCTGTCCGAACACACAATTTAGCAACTAGACTAAGTAAACAGAGGTCACATGGCCAGGAGAAAGCCAGCCAGCCCGGCATACCCAAGCAATAGTCACCAGAGGCCCCAGGTGTTAGAGAGCTAGAAATTTCCAGGAGCGAGGGGCCTGACAGTGTGTGTCCTAGACTGTGATGGCAGGTAGCCCTACATCAGTCCTGTGTTTAGCTGTCAGCACATACAGTCTCATGCTAGACCCCACAGTGAAGAGACTCTCAGCACCCCCTTCTTCTGTATTCCCCAAACCCAAATCTAGCAATCCAACTTCCTGACCATTATCTCACAATAAAGTTATTACTGTTATCATTAACTACCTTCTAAAAAGGAGGATTTCCACCTTAGCTGATCCTGGTGTTTTATATTTAGTACTTTGTAATGTCACCTTTACTCCTACAAAGTGGGACGGACGTTATGGAGGACAAAACTATGCCCACAAACTTCTGAGATGTCCCCTAAGACGTTAGGACTCAGCAGTTTCAGCGGTCACAGAAGAAACATCACCTACTTAAAACAGCGCCCTTGTCATGTCATGGCTCCAGGAAGGCCTTAAGAGAGCTCTCCCATCACTTAACCCTTCTAAGCCTTATGTTTGCTAAGACAGGCAGGGCTGGGGCTGGAGAGATAGCTCAGAGCTTAAGGGCACTGGCTGCTCTTCCAGAGGCCCTGAGTTCAATTCCCAGCAACCACATGGTGCCTCACAGCCATCTATGGTGAGATTTGGTGGCCTCTCCAAGCATGTAGACATACATGCAGGGAGAACACTGTTAACATAATAAATAAATCTTTAAAAAAAAAAAACAGGCAGGACTCAGACTGTTCCCTAGCCATTCAAGATTCTGAAAATGAAGTGGACTGCGAAATGAAGGCTGGCTGCAGGATTTGTAGAAGGGACTCATAAGCTCACAGGTAGAAGGGACTCATAAGCTCACAGGTAGAAGGGACTCATAAGCTCACAGGTAGAAGGGACTCAAAAGCTCACAGGTAGAAGGGACTCATAAGCTCACAGGTAGAAGGGACTCATAAGCTCACAGGTACGGCTCGAGAGGGGGCTCAGTGGTTACTGAGCTCAGTTCCCACAACCCACATGGCAGCTCACAACTGTCTGTAACTCCAGTTCCAGGGGGTCTAACACCTTCACACCAATGCAATTTAAGAAGAAAGTGCACAAGTAAGGGGTTATTTGGGAAGTACAGACAGCTCAGCTATGTTGTCAGATCATGAAACTCGGTGAACAATAATCAAGTGTACAATGAGCTCTTTGCTAGCTGAGCTCACTCATGCAGTAATTTGCTTGGTGAGGGTGTTACATTGCTAACTCAATGAGTGTGTTACATTGCTAACTTAATGAGTGCATTACATTGTTAACTTGATGAATGTGTTATGTCACCAACTTGATGACTGTATAACATTGGCAACCACATCTAGCAAAAGTCTTTAGCACAAGCTTACCTGTCATTCCGAAAGATCTTTGGTAAATACCTCCTGGGAAACCACATGGCCAAAGCACACATGAGAACCCAAAGGATGGCAAGTTCATCAAGCATCTGACCCAGGAAACTGAGAGTTGCATGGAAGTAGACAGATCCAATTCCTAGAAACAATCACAACAAACAAAAAAAGTTAATGCAGAACAGACTCACATAGGCCCACTGCTTCAGCTAACCCTGGGTAGCCCTTCTCTGGATACTATCAGATGTACCAGATCACGAGAGAGAGAGAGAGAGAGAGAGAGAGAGAGAGAGAGAGAGAGAGAGAGAGAGAGAGAGAGAGAGAGAGAGAGAGAGAGAGGTTTCAAGTTGGGCTCAGATGTCAGGCTCAAACGTCAAAGAATTCCATGGCCAAGCACACTCTGTCTCCATCCTCTGAACATTCACGATAACAGTCAGTAAATAAGAGTCAACACTATCTCCCTGTTAAGAGTTCCCAAACTGCCAGAGAGGAAATGGAAATCACACAGTATTTCGCAGAACAATGAGGCACCAAACATCTAAATATTTTTCTTTCTTTAAGTCCTTTGGAACCAAATCTCATCAGACTTCAATTGTTTCAGAGGTTCTTCAGAAGTTCTCAGAAAACCACGCTGGCACACCACCAGAGGCTGCCCACAGACCCTGAGTGCTGGTCTGGGATAGTCACAGGCAGCCTTGTTATCAAGCCGGCACTCAAGAGTCCTTTTGGCATCAGGGGAGCAATGGCTAAGACGTCAGAGCGACTTTGGTTTATAAAACATTGTGTTCAAAGGGGACAAGAAACATTCGGGGTCCTACTTCCTCCCTTTCGGCCCCCGTTCCCACGTGACTTCACTTACCCACTACAACTAGGAGAGTCCATATTAAGTAGATGCCGCTGTTGAAACACGTCGCATACTGGCGGAACAAGCACATGCAGATGGGCGGTAAAATGAAAAACAAGACGTTGCTGATCTGGAACGGAGAGCAACATGAAAAGATGAGTATTAAGTAAAAGCATTAAAAAAGAATGCATGTTCTAAGTGTGTCCTTTGCAAACCGGGTGAGTGTGGCCATGCACCTTGGGCAAGCTCTTCACTTTTTAAATTATCACAGTGGGGGTAAAACACAGACCATCTTAAGGTCCCTCCCTGTAGGGGGGCTCCTGCTGTCTCTTTTGATCACAGGAGCAAATGTAAACAGCAGCATCTAGGCTCGAGGTGTAGCTCAGTTGTAGAGCCCTGACCTGGCATCAGGGGTCAATTCACAGTATCTGGTGGGAGAAGAACTTGGAATGCTTTGCTCAAGGAAAAGTTCCAAAACTTCTCGCCTAATTCAAAGAGCCAGTAACTCTTGCTTTCCGCACGAGGACAGCTCTTCCTACGGTGCCTCTCAGTTAAACTGTCGTTTTCTCCTCCTAATCAAAACCTACTTTTAGAAGAAAAATCAAGTTTGTATGCTTCTCCCTGCTTTAAAATAAGATTGTTTGGCTGGGCATAGTGATACCAGCGCTCAGTCTGAGGCAGGAGGATCAGGAGTTCAAGGATAGATTCAGCCACATAATGAGTCTGGGTGACATGAAACTCTGCACCCCACCACACCACCTTCTACTCTGCTCCCTACTTGTGCCTCCCCCCAAAAAAGAAAGAAAATTGTATTTTAACTTGCAAATTCTGGTTGTACTTTAACCTATTATGTCTCCAGGAAGCACTCGACTGTTTAAAAAAATTAATATTTTAGCTAATGTAATATAGTAATCACTTAAAATATCATTAGCCTTGCAAGGTAGGGAAGCTGAGGCTGGAGGACTGTGAATTTGATTAGTTGAATTTGTGCAAACAATAGACAGACAGACAGACAGATGGAGACAGACAGGGGATGGAGAGATGCCTTAGCAATTAAGAGCAGAGGATGCTTTTCCAGACCTGGGTTTGATTCCCAGAACCCATGTGTCAGTTCACAGCCCTCACTCCAGTTCTAGGGGGTCTGATGCCCTCTGCTGGCCTCCACAAGCAACGCATGCATGGGGTGCACAGACATGCAGGCGAAAATACCCATACATATTAAATAAAAATTAAAGCCGGTGTTGGTGGTGCACGCCTTCAATCCCAGCACTCAGGAGGCAGAGGCAGGCGGATCTCTGTGAGTTCCAGGACAGCCTCCAAAACAATATAGAGAAACCCTGTCTCAAAAAAAAAATTAATAAATCGCCAAAAAAAACAATAAAAAACAATGGTGAAATATTGTACATTCTTTGGTTCATACCCAGGCTTTTAAACCCAGTGTAAATTTCACACATACAGCAAGTCTCAGTTTGGGACAGTCATATCTCCTGTGTTCAGAAGACATAGTGTAAAACACAGTTCTACAACCTCACTCTAAGTTTTAAGAGCTGGGAATATATCTCAGTTAGTAAGATGCTTGTCTGGCATTTATGAGGTCCTGGCTTCAGTCAACAGAACCACCATCGTCACCATCCCCCACTCCTGCTCCCCCTCCAAAAAAACAAAAAAGGAGGAAGAGGGGGAGTTGGAGGAGGGGAAGACGAGGAAAAGGGCAGGAGGCAGCAGCTGAGAGACAATGCCCTCACAAAAAACAATCGCTGTCTTGTGCCTCTAGCCTGCAGAACTGTGAGAACCTGCTGATACTAAAAACAATGGGGTTTAGAGTGTTTCTTATGGGGGCAGTACTAGGTTTGGTGTTGGTGACTTGGTAATCCTACATTCTACAGCAAGCTTTTGAGGCTTTTCCATTTTTTGTTCTACACTCCTACCAACAGTATACAAGGGTTCTTATCCTCGTTGAAACACATTATACTCTATTGTTTGTTTTTAAAGTAAAGCCATTCTAGCAGGTATGCCCTGGTAGGGACACTCAGCTTTCTTCTTTATTTATTTATTTATCTATCTATTTATTTATTATTATTTTTGTTTGTTTGTTTTGCCTGCACACGTCTGTGCGAGGATGTTGGATTCCCTGGAACTGGAGTTACAGTTGTCAGCTGTCACGTGGGTGCCAGGAATTGAACCAGGTCCTCTGGAAGAGCAGCCAGTGCTCTCAATCACTGAGCCTTCTCTCCAGCATGACACTCAGCTTCCTGAGGAGCTCTTGGTCCAGGCCTGTGCACGCAGAACGTAAAGATAACATCTAAATCTAAACGGGCTTTTGCACTGGAGGTGAGGCAGGAGGAACGCACACTCGGCAAAAGAAACTTGGAAAAACAAAACAGGTGACGCAGACGTTAAGAGCACACATTGCTCCTTCGGAGACCAGGGTTCACAGCACCCACACCAGATGGTTCTTACAGCTGCCTGTAACTCCAGCTCCGGGGAATACCACGTCTCCAATCTCCAAAGGTACCGCACTGACGAGACACACACACACAAACACACACACACAAACACACACACACACACACACTTAAAAATAATATAAAGAAGGCTAGAGAGATGGACGACAGCTCAGTGGTCAAGAATACTTGCTGCTTCTACAGAGGATCCAGGTTCAGTTCCCAGCAGCCATGTGACAGTTCACAACCATCCATTGCTCCAGTTCCAGGGGACCTAATACTCTCTTCTGGCCTCCTCAAGCACTAGACAAGTATATGGTGCACAAATACACCACGGAAACAAAACAGTCACACATATGATATAGAACAAATATATCTTCAAAAACAATAAGAAGAATAAATATCTTCTTTGTTTCCTTGTTTTTTTGAGACAGGGTTTCCTAGAACTTTCTTTGTAGACAAGGCTGGCCTTGAACTCACAAAAGATTCACCTGCCTCTGCCTCCCAAGTACTGGGATTAAAGGCATGGGCCACTGGGGTAGTTTGAATGTAATTGGCCCCCATAATCTCATAGGAGATGGCACTATTAGGAAGTGTGGCTTTGCTGGAGGGAGTTTGCCCTTGTTGGAGGAAGTATATCGCTGGGTTTAGGAGGTGAGTAGCTTTGAGGTTTCCTATGCTCAGGATACTGCCCAGTGAGACAGTTGACTTCCCGTTGCCTGCAAGATATAGGACTCTCAGATACTCCAACACCACATCTGCCGACATGCTGACATGCCCCCCATCATGATGATAACGGACTGAACCTTGGAAACTGTAAGCAAACTGCCCAATTCAATGTTTTCCTTATAAGAGTTGCCATGGCCATGGTGTCTCTTCACAGCAGTAAAAACCTTAACTAAGACAGCCACCACTGCCTGTCAAAAATAAGTCTTTAAAAAGAAGAACCAGACCTGGTTGCTCATGCCTGGAATCCCAGCTACTCTGGAAGTGAGGCAGGAGGATCCCAAGTTCAAGGCCTTCCTAGCCTACAGCTTGAATTAACAGCCAGCCTGGGCAACTTAGTGAGACTGAGACCCTGCCTCAAAATTTAAAAATCCAAAGAGCAAAGCTGGCAAGATGACTCAATGAGTAAAGGCACTTGCCACTAAACCTGATGATCAGAGTTCAATTCCTGGGACCCACCAGATGCAAGGGGAAGAACCAACTCCTTTAAGTTGTCCTCTGACCTCTGCATACATGCTATAGTAGGCAAACATCCACACACAGGCGCACTTGTTAAATAAATTAAATAAATGAAAAGAGGCCTGAGGATATAGCTCAATTATAAAACACTCCCCAGCATGTGTGGGGCCCTGGGTTCAATCCTTAGTCCTGCGGGACGGGATAAGGTCTAGAGCTTCTTTTGCTCTGATAAAGACCATGACAAAGCAACTGGGGAAGGAAAGGGTTTATTTCATCTCAGACTTCCAGGTAACTGTCCTTCACTGAAGGACGTCAGGGAAGGAACTCAAGCAGGGCAGGAGCTGATCCGGAGGCCATGGAAGATTCTGCTTACTGCCTCACTCACCCATTACTTGCTTTCTTTTACCACCCAGGACCACCAGTCGGAGGGGCGGCCCCACCCACAATGGGCTGGGCCCTCTCCATCAATCACTAATTAAGACAATGCACTACAGATTTGCCTATACTACAAGCGGATCTCATGGAGACATTTTCCCAATTGTGAGTCCCACTTCCCAAATGACTCTAGAGTTTTTTCAAGTTCACAAAAAAAAAAAACTAGACAGCACAGTAAGTAAAGATGAAAACTCATAAACAGGGGCAGGAGGGTTTCCAAAAGAAAGGAGTGACCAGCCCTGCTGGCTAATCCAGAAAGACGACTTGGACGAGGGATGACTCAAAGGAACCGTGTGGGCACCTGAAGTCGGACGAAGACGGAAGGATAGCAGGGCTTTTCCCTAGATCTCAGAAGCCACACTGGCAATGTCCCAATAAAATGTGTCACAGCAGGAGCTGGGGAGACAACTCAGTCAATGAAGTGCTTGACATACATGCATGAGGACTGAAGTCTGGATACCCAGCACTCCAGCACCCATAGAAAAAGCTGGATTTGATGCTGTTGTGCAAGTGCTGGGAGGAAGACACGGGGATTTTTCAGCCATATCCGTGAGCTCCAGATTCCACAAGAGACCACATCACAAACAATAAAGTAGCAAGAGATTAAGGACAGCAACTAACTTCAAACTCTGGCCTCCCCACACAAGTATTCCCACTTGTACATACATATATGTCACACACACATACAGAAAAAAAAGTCTTAGCAAAGACCAGATCTTAGAGGTGATACAGTTTTTGGAAAGAAAGAATGTGAAAGAAATAAGAGAATTTAAAAGAGAGAGAGAGAGAACAGAATCTTTATGTGTGGTTGATGACACTGAATGAAACTGAATACATATGTTCTCAGATGTTCCGGGCTTGGAGACAGAATCAATTCTCATCTATAAGAAGTAAGTGAGCCCGGCGGTGGTGGCCCGCACCTTTGATCCCAACACTCAGGAGGCAAAGAAGGCAGATCTTTGTTGAGTTCCAAGCCTGGTCTGCAGAGGAAGTTCCAGGGGGCAGTCAGGGATACAGAGAAACCCTGTCTCAAAAGAAGGAGGAGGAGGAGGAGAAGGAGAAGGAG